GGGAGGCTGGGCATCAGGATTGGAGGAAGATTCATCAATAATCTGCAAGTGCTTCAAGTCCTCCTCAGTTTCAGCAAGCAGTGTTGTGTCATCCGCATAACCCAGATTGTTGACGAGTCTTCCTCCAATCCTGATTTGAAGGCATTTAATAGGGTATTTAAAGGCCGGAGGGTATGTGTTATGTATGTTTAAAATTTTTATAGTTTTTTATTAATTACCCTATTAAGTGGCTATGCCAACAATCAGTCCCACCAGCACTGTGAGGGGAATGTCTGTTTTGCCACAACAGTGCCAACATAGTGTATTAAGTGTTTTTTGGTTTTGATCCTGTTGTCATCTTTTTGAAACTTATAGATGGGAAGTGGAATCACATTTTACTGTCTTTTTATTATCATTGAGTGAAAGTTTACAAAGCAAATTAATTTTCCATTTTACCATTCATCTACATAGAGTATTATGGGATTAATTACAATACCCTCCACATAACCACATTCTTCCCCTTCCTCCTCCTGTCCTATTCCTCCTTCTGAGAGTTAGAACAGATTCTTAGCTGACTGTCCAGTGGGTTTTCTGAAGCTGTAAATTGCATAGGAGGAGACTGCCCATTTTTCTCTCACAGAGCAGCAGGTGGAGTGCTGGCTTTGGGTTAGCAGTGCACCCCCAGTACAGACCTCACTTTCTGAGCTTTATCCCTGAGCAAAAGCTGCCCTTTTGACTTTATGTGGTTGAACATTCCAAAGAATGTGTGCCTCCAGGAGCTATTATTCATCTTTTCAGCCTGTCTATTGTTTGGGGGAAGTCGAGCCATAGATAGAGATGTTTTCTTCCAGATTCAGAAAGTGACTCAGGACCCTAGTCGTGGGGCTCCAAGCCACATTTAACTTTCCATCTGCATTTCTTTTCTATGAATGAGGCTAAGTGCTTTTTTTACATTTCTGTCCTTTCTCTATTTTTCTACAGATTATTTTCAATTATTAATTTGAAAGGGTGTAAAAAGAAATTAGTTTCTTCTTGAGTATAAAAAAAGCCACCTGAAACAAGCTCCTTGCTTCCTCTCGAGGATTTTCTAGCAGACAGTTTATAGGTAGGTAAGTTTCTGTCAATTGTCTGGAATTTTCCACATATATAAAGTCAGACCATCACATCAGTAAATGACATTTTGCCTTGAGTCATTTCTAGGACATTCCTGCCAAGCTTAACCATGAGGAAAACATGAGACAAACCATGACTGAAGAACTCCATAAACTAACTGGCCTGGGCTTAAAAACAAAACAAAACACAAAGCTGATGTCAAAAAGGCAATGAGAGACTGATGAATGTTCCAGATTTCAGAAAGTAGAGATTGTCAAATGTGAAGTGTCAGACAGGATACTCTTTTGTTATAAAGGACGTTATCGGGACAGTTGTTAAAATCTGATTATGGTCTGGAGATTAGATAACAGTGTTTTATCAGCGTTAGCTTCCTGATTTTCAGAGTCCTACCAGGAGGAGAGGGGACAATGTCTTTTCCAGAAGTTAAACACTCAGCACTGCTCATTGCTGTAACTCTTCCGTTAAATCTGAACATATCCAGCTGCTGTCAGTTTTGACTCCTGGTGACCTCACATATATCAGAGTAAACTGCCCATGGTGTTTGTAATGGCTGATTTTTTAGAAGTAAATCATCCAGCCTTTTTTCTGGGGTATTTCTGAATAGACTTGAACCTCCAACCTTGCAGTCAACAATTGAGTGCTTATGCGTTGGGCAAATGGTTAATAACACATAAGCAGCCCTATAGGATCAAGTAGAACTTCCCCATAGAGTCCCAGAGGTCGAAAATCTTTATAGGCCCAGATCTCACTTGATCTTTTCTCCTACAGAAAAGCTGATGAATTTGGAATGCTCACCTTTTGGTTATCTGCTGAGTGCTTCACCATTTAGGGAGGCTGGGCATCAGGATTGGAGGAAGATTC